CAGAAGATCTAAACACAGGACAACCCGCAGCGGCAGAAGTTCTCCTTGATGATAAAACCTTATCAACGTAAGGTGACCTTGGCTGAAGCAGAGAGCTCACCTATCTGGTAGTGGTCGATCTTCATGGTGGAGTTGGTCAGGGAGCCAAAGATGGTGATGATGGAAACCTTCCTGATGGCCATCTCACACACCGACTCCAGGTACTCATCCCTCTGCTGGACATACATCCTGCTCTCCTCACTGGGGGAGGTAATGAGCTGCAGGAGAGGAGGAACATTTGGGGGTTAGGGTATCAGCTACGTGCCATAAAACGCCCCTCCCACTGAGCTGCAGAGGTGATGTTTACTTTAACCTGCAGGAAGTGGATGGGAATGTTTTCCCAGCCAACTGGGAGCAAAGTTGCAATAAGGAATCTGTGCTGGCTCCAAACCAGAGACATGTGGTCTGTTAGCGCTTGGCCTCGCCGCCTGACCTGAAGCACAGAGCCTCACGCTCAGCGTTACGCAAAGCTTCACAGCTACTGGGCAGAAATGGAAGCTCAGAAATCCAAAAAGAGGGAATGATTTCATCCCAGAGCGCAGAGAGGCGTTTCCTGCTCAGGAAAATGTTGGTGGAAGGTTCTGGTTTCCTGCTCCGCCTGGTTGGAGCTGCTCTTTATAATAATGACAGTAATAATAAGAATAATAACATCAGGAACCAGCAGGGATCCAATAAGCTGCTCCCAACAACTGGAACCAAACTGCTAAAGTCAGCAAACAGAGAAAGGAAGTTTCTTCACACATTTCCTTTTTCTCTTTCTAATTTTGCTCCAGCTGGGGGTTGGGGTAACACTGCCTAGTATTGCCTAATGGTACATTTGTCTGGTATTTGGTTCCAAGTTCAGTAGACTTGCAGTTTAATGCTAAAAGACCAACTTTTCTCTCCTGCAAACTCCAACCAGGATCAAATGTTAATGTCTGCCTGAAACAGATCAGGTTTTAATGAGCAGAAGGTGATTCACCTCCAAGCTAACGCCTGGTGATCAATTGTTTTTATTTTAACTTTATCTTTTAAGCCGGAGATTTAAAAACTCTTTTCAAAGAAATTTGGGGTAAAAAAACAAAATGAAAAGTGATGTAGAAAAGCAGAAATTTAACTTCTTAGGTTTCTAATGTTTTTACTTTTGTTCATTCTAAACATTTCATTGTTTAGAATGAACAAATATTTCAATAGAAAGACTAAAATAGATAGGGTTAAAGATCAGAAATTTCACACATGCTGCCCCGATTCAGAGAATTCAATAAATTACACCCCCCATCCCCCGACCGACCCCAGAGGAGTTCCCAGG